TTATTAATAGTGGAAAATATTATATTGAGACATGGGTTATATAGGATAGGAACTATGTATTTTCTGCACAATTTTTTTGGGGGTGGGTTTCCAGTACCAGGAACCAAACTCACAACCTTGTGCTTGCCAGGCAGGCACTGCGCCACTGAGCTAAATCCCCAGCCACTCTGCACAATTTTTTGTAAACCTAGAACTGCTAAAAAATAAAATCTACTAGAAAGAAAAGACCTTAAAATCTCTGGCCAGTGAATTTTTTTAAGTCATTGAGGAAATTAAAATGGCACATTAGAAAATATTCATTTAATGTCAAGGAAAGCAGTAGGCAGGCACGTAAGTATGCATCTATAATTCCAGCTACTTGTGAGGCTGAGGCAGGAGGATCACAGTTTCAAGGCCATTCTAGTCAACTATAGTGACTGTCTAAAAATAGAAAGTTAAAGGGCAGGAGGTTTCAGGCCCTGGGCTCAATCCTGAGGAAAGAGAAGAAGGGAAGAAGGAAAGAAGGAGGGAAAGAAGGAAGGAAGGGAGGAGGGAAGGAAGGAAGGAAGGAATGAAAGAAGGGAGGGAGGAGGGAGGGAGGAAGGAGGAAAGGAAGGAAAGGAGGAAGGGAGGAAGGAGGAAAGGAAGGAAAGAAGGAAGGAAGAAAGGAAGGGAAGGAAGGAGGGAAGGAAGATGAGACAGAGACATAGAAAATAGCAGATGTAAGTCCAGCTATATCAATATTAATATGAAATGTGAATGGATTAAACAATCCAGGTGCATCTGCATGTGAGGAAGGGACATGAGGGACCCAGTGGTCAGGAAGAGAACTTTAAAAAAAAGAACAAGAAAAAATACAGTACACTACCAAAGGGCTAATGGTAGAAATGTATGCCAACACCCTTCCTGCACCCTGTACAGAAGCGCATGTCAGATAAAAATGCACCCAAGGGAGGACTGAGTGTGGAAGGGATGTGAGAAGAACCACCTTGGCTGATCCTCAGTGAACATTTGCTAAGAATGTGTCACCTAACCGCACAGCTCTACAGGGAGAGAGGTACATTTTCAGTCTCCTTTTCTCAGAATGTGAATTTACAGTTTAGAAAAGTCCAGTGAGTTGTCCAAGGACACAGATAAGAAATATTGGAACTCAGGAATACTGTCTCCAGAGCCAGGAACTCAAACTCTATGAAATTGGCTAGGAAGAGGCATGAAAGCTAAAGGAAACAGATTATTTCCCCAGTCTCAAATGAAACCTTGATCAAGGATGAAAGAAAAGAGCAAGTCACAGTCTCACCCTTCCATCCTTACAGAAGGGTCAGCCTCAGCCTGAGGAAGGGCACTGGAAACCCAAGGAGAAAAGCAACAGTAAGTCGCGGGTGTTTGCCCCACTCCGGGGAGCCCCGTCCTTCTGCACCAGGAAGGAGGAAAGGGTGAGCCCTTCCTGAGCCACGACTACTGACCCAGTGTGTCGGTGACACGGCAGAAGGGATTAACACCTAAGCACTCAGAGCCATTATTACAGCAGAGGAACGTACGCAGCCAGCTAGTGTACATCTCGTGTGAGTGGAAGACTGCATACAGATGACGAGAAAGAAGGGGGAAATGGTGTTGAGCAATTGCAGAGACTCAGAGTACTTTATTTGCTACAGCAGGCAGAGCTCAGCTCCCTTGGGCAGAAGCCTCTTAGCCACATCACAGCCTGGTTCTTCCTGTGAGGGTCATCAGTGAATGCTTATGGGTTCAGAACACATTATACACAATACCTAAAAGCTGGGCCATTTATAGTAATGTGTGAAAATGTCCTGGCCATATTTGTGATGCCATAAGGTATTGTAGCGCAAGTAGGAATAAGTATGCTACCTGAGGCACTCTGCAAGTTCTCATTCATTTTAGTATCACTCAGACATGTAGGGACAGTCAGGCCTTTGAACTCATAAATCTCTCAATTTTGTCTCATGCACCCCATTCTAAGATCAAAACTGGCTCTGCTGTTTGTCCCTTTTGCCTGTTGCTAATGTGGCTTCACATTTGGTAAATTTGAATATATGAATTTTAAGAGATTATATGTGTGACTATCCTTGTATAGATGGAACTCACTTGAAAATCCTTTTATAAAGTCATGTTTTCTTACATTTGCCAATAAGAGCCTCATGATAGATTTTCTTTCTTTGGTGCCTCCCCAGTACATTCATTATGTGCTCTAAATCCAAAAAAATAAGAGGTTGCAGAAGCACATGTGCTGAATACATTGTGAGCTGCGTGTGTACTGAAGCAGCTATGCGGAGGGGAGGTGCAGGCCGCGGAGAACTCGGTACCTGGGGATCTAGTTATCGCTATGGAGGATAATTAACATCAGTGGTTCTCAGCTAATACTTGGATGTTCTTTCCCCCTCAATTATCAGTGCTGAATTCAGTTTCAGTGGAAAAAACATGAGATGTTAATTCCAGCCAGCCAAAGAGAATGCATTTTGTTTGACCACTTCATTTTGGAAAAACAAAATATAAAATGTGAAGTATTTCTTTCCAGATCATGAAACTGTCCATATTTGGTAAACATTTTCAGTCTTGTAAATATTTTTAAACTGGAGCTCAGTCTACAGGATCCAACCCACCGAGGACAGGAAGATGTCACAATAATTTCCTCTATTCCCAGGCCCCCGCAGGAAGGTCATTTAATAATGTTACCCAGAGAGAGCAGAGTGTCAGGGACAGGTACAGGCTTTGTGAGATGAAGTGCAGACTCTGGAAGCACCTTCAAGAAAATAAATGCAAAACTGCAAACATAAAATTAGATATAAAACATACTTAGAAGAAGAAAATAAAATTCAGTTTTTAAAGTTGGCAATCATCTATATTACAAATTCAGAAAAACAGTATTATATTTTTATTAAGCAGCTTCCGATACATCTCTACAGTACTCGCTCCTCCGCATTTTGGGGGCATGCTCTTTGATGACATCTTCATATGAGAATGATTTGTAAAATCTTTACTATAAGGGAAACAGAATGATAATTCTTCTAACATGGTTGATCAAAATTTGTCTTTTATTATTGATAATTTTTTTCAGTCCCAGAACCCATTAGTGGCACTGGCATATAAACCGCTAGAGTGGTTGTTAAATCTGGAAAGACATTTATTAGGTTTTTCATACAGATGAGGTATGACATTTGGAAGGGTTTTGTACAAAGCAGCTTCTAACTCTGTATATTTGAGATATTGTTTTGCCCTGTACGCACATGCACTCCCAGGCTCAGGCATCTTATTGTGATACCATACTCACCCCAAGCCCATGCAAGAGGAAACCTGCCCTTTGCAGGCTACGTCCTTCTCTTCCCTTGGTCTAGGGCAGAGGGCACATGTCTATCCAAAGCGCATCGCTACTCCTTGATTATTCTCCAAGAACATACAACCCTAGAATGGGGAATTTCTTTTTCAAATAGAGCCTAGCTAGACCTTTACCTGTAATCTGTTCTCTCAAGAGTGAACCACATGCCCAGTGTGAGCATTCTTTGGCTGACCTCAGACCCAGGGGCAGAGCTCATGCAAAATGAGAAGCTCTAAACATGACAAGGAGCCCTAAAGAGGATGTTTATTAGTTTTGCAGCCAATCCACCTCTGCATGGCATCCGGAAGCTCTGACATGGCCTTTTCCACCCTGACTCCCATGGAATCTCAACGTTATCCCACCCATGGAAGTACAGAGCCTAAAGCTCACTACTTCAGCATGGCAGCCAGAAAGCAATTAGGAGCTAGAGGAGCTGGGAATGCACATCCTGAACCACCCTTGCTCCATCTGGTGGGGCGGGGGGCGAACGTGGTGACCTCAGTGTCCCCAGCTGGCAGCCTAACCCTTCCACACCCTCCTCCGCCTTTTTTTAACCTCAGAAAAGGCACAGATCCCTCCTCCACCCCTGCACACCCAAGACACTGGCAAGGTGACTCCCCAGCCACAAACCTCCATTCTGTTCATGCATTATGCATGAAGACAAGGCGAAGGAGCAGCGTAAGGTGGCAGTGGCCCAAAGGGACTGTCCACCCTAACGCAAAATGAGAAGACTTTTAGGACAAAACTGGTCATGCTGGGGTCTCGCATGCCCTGAGAATTGATTTGCTAAGCAAGCGCTTTTCACTCTCCGCCGCAGCTCTCCCTCTCACCTTTGCCTGCTCCTTCTAGGTCACTGCAGGAGGTCGGAGGACAGGTCCTCCTTAAGAAAACGCCCATCAAACCCTAAGCAGAGCAGCAGGCTGGGCCTCGCCTCTCCCCAGCGCACAGCTTCTCCTCCTCTGCGTCTTCTGCAGCTCCGGCGCCTCTCTGGCCAGACCCTCGCAGGCCCAACTGTTAGGCGTCTTTTCCACGTTCAAGGTGGGAGGCAGTAAGATCCCCTGCCTTAACGCGGGGTCTTCGCACAGGACCAAGCCTTAAGCCAAAGATTCAAACTCAACGCGCTTTAATAAAATCCCTAATAGCTACCGATTTAAAGAAACACTTCTCAGCTTCTTCAGATAGGGCAACGTCCTTAACCCTCACAACTTCCCTGTCACGGGAAGAAATAAAGAAACTGGGGGGTGTGAGGGCAGTTAGGGTTGAGGGCATCCTGGGAGAGAGCTGAGTGACTTGTCATAAAATCAAAACACTAAGAATAAGGGGCAGGGTCAAATTGGCACTGTGATGGATTCTACCGCGCTGGCCTACACGCGCACACACGCACACGCACACACACACACACACACTCACACACACTCACACACACACGCACACACGCACGCACACACGCACACACGCACACACGCACACACACGCGCGCGCGCACACACACACTCACACACACGCGCGCACACACACGCACACACACACACGCGCGCACACACTCACACACACACACTCACACACACGTATCGGGCGCTGGCGGAGGGTGCGGTTCGCAGCTCCGCCTCTGCTCCATCCCCGCGCTGCGGGCGGGGGCGGGGCCGCGGGGAGGGGCGTCTGGAAGGAGAAAGACAAATTTAAAAGGAAAGATTTACGAGGCCATGAAGATGTTTCGCCCAGACTCCTGAGTGCAGTAGTATGACTTATTTATTCTATTTTCATTTGTAACCAAAACCTTCCCCGGCCGCCCATTGGCCCCAGCGGAGCGCGGAGAGCGACCGGCCGTCAGGCGGTGGTCGCCGGGCGGAGGAGCCGTGTGGCGTGATGCTGACGCTGCCCACTGACGAGCGAGCCGGGGCCCGGGGGAGCAGCTCGGAGCCGGAGCCCGGCGAGCGAGCGGGCGGGCAGCTGCGGAGCTGGCACAGGCGCCGGCCGGCGGGGCAGGCTGGGGAGCTGGCGGGGTGCAGAGCGCGATCCCGGGGTGCAAAGCGTTGCAGCGTACCGCTGCCCTCTGAGTCTGCTCCGAGCCCTCGACCCCGTCGCCCTCTCCACCGCCTGCCTCCCCCATCTCGGTGCAGAGAGAGGAGATGAAAAACGCCAAATGTCACTTCGTGGTCAGTGCCTTCGTGGGCAGCTGCTGTTCTCAAGGCAATCTATTGAATGCAGGGCTGCGGAGCCAGAAGAGAGCAGTGCTCTGGGAGTTGGGCCCGAGGTGGGGGCTTTGCGCACTGCCAGTGCGCGAGCTACCGAAGACCTCCAGGATCTCAGGGTCCACACTCCCCAAGTGCAGCACCCCAAGGAGAAGAGGTGCTCCTGTTTTCAGGATGGAGTCCTCTTCTGAGAAAATGAAACCTGGGAGGGAAAGGAAAGAAAAGCCTCAAGCTTCTGGGAACATCTTTGATCCCCTTTAGAACAGGGACCTCCATTCTCATTAATATACCCACTGATTGAGGACCGCAGAAATTTTTGCAAAGATTCCCCGTTCGAGAAAAATCAACGTCCTTCTAATGCAAAAACAAAATAAGACTTGACTCATCAGACTGTGTTAGCTGGGATGTGCCTCAGTGGTACCAGCCTTGCTTGGTGTGTGTAAGACCTTGGGCTTAATCCACAGCGCGCAAAACAAAAACACAAAAGTTGGGTGTACTCATGAGCCCTGCCCTGTTACTTTTTTGGATGATGTTCAAAACCCCGCGAAACTCTCACCGGTCTCTATCTTGTTATTACTACATAGAAACCCACAGTTCCTCACAGTCTTGTTGGTGAAGCAGTATCTTAATCCCCCCTGCTAAACCAGCAGGGCAGATGCTCCCAATCTGATGGCTACGGTATGGAGACTGATTGATGTATGGGTGACGCTCAGTGGCCCCACTCAGTGGCCTCAGTGGTCACAGCCCTCTTGGTTCTGCTAACCCATGAGTCTACGTCCCACCCCACCCCAATCTGGTTGAGAAGTTTTATCATTCCCGGTCTATAGGTGGAGCAAAACATGACTGGGTAGATGTGATTCCATGAGTCTATCTTACTACCTTTCGTGAGGAGAGACAGTGTAGTTGGAGACATACTGTTGCTTTGTCTGAGAATATCATATTATGAAATGTCATTATGAAACTAGCCTCGATTCTATCCCTAGAATAGAAGCTACAGAAATTAACTTCTAGTCCCAACTCTGATACTTGCTAGGTACACAAGTACTTAGGTCTGGGAGTTGTAGGTCTTGAGTTCTGAGGTTAGAATTATCACTTAGCAATTGACATAAAAACATCACATGCCTGTTTTAAATCCTATGGCTTCCTTTTGCCCTTGTAATGAAATCATAACCCCTTACCATGGAACTCAGAACTTTATGATCTGCCTTTTACTCATCTCTGTCACTATGTAGTCTGGCTCTGTCTCCCTTTCTCTCTCTGCTTCTCTCTCCACTTCTCTCTCTCTCTCTGCTCCTCTCTCTCTCTCTCTCTCTCTGCCTCTCACTTCCTACTCCCCAGCCACACCAGCCTCATTTTCATTCCTAAGTCCCCTAGACTTCTTTATACTTCATTCTCTTTGCATCTATTATCCCCTCTACCTACAATGTTCTAAAAGTATCCAGAGTTTGTTAATATTTTGGTCCTCAGCAAATACTGTTACAAAATGGGTCAGTTAAGGACAAGTATAGGGCAATAATAGAACAATGCCACCATTCCCCGTAAAACACAGATGGAGTATAAAAATTTGAAATTTAATATATTTTTAAAATCCAAGTAGTCATCAGGAGTGAAATAAGAATCCTTCCTTTGTTCATTAATTCATTCACTTAGCAGATCATTATCAAGCGCCTTCTATGCTGGACTTCACTATATTCATGCGTGACTTGTTTGCATTTGAATTACGTGAGCAAAGATGAGGAATAATCTATACAGTGTTTACAGCCTCCACAAGTTACCTTTCCTCATGTCAGCTCAAACGTCACCTCTTCAGAGATGTTTTCCTTGAGCGTCTTGTAAATGTAGCTCTTCTTGCCCTGTTTCTACTTTCTAACACAGAACTAACCCTGTCCTATCACTTGTGTAGAATTTACTGCAGTCTGAATTTGCTTATTTATATATTTATTTATGTGCCATCTATCTCCTTGCACTAGAATTGAAGTTGCATGGAGGCAGAAACCTTGTCTGCCTTAGGCACCAGCAGCACACAGGACAGTGCCTCGCCCACAGATGGTGCTGGGGAAATGTTTGCTAAGTGAATGAATTAACAAATCAGTGAATGAATATAATCTCAAACTAGAGATTTAACCTCAGTGAATATTAGTTCTGTCATCTGTAAAGTATAACCGACAACAAAATCCTGCCTGCTTCAAAGTGTTGATGAGAGTCTGAAATAAAATATGTATATAGGACTCAGTTTCCTAGAAAACAGAGCCTGAGGCAAGGATTAAAGACTGGTGTTTTACATGGAAGGGATAATCCGGGGACATTAAGAATGAGGGCAAAAGGAAGACAGAAAAAATAGGACAAGATAGAAAAGTGGATAGATTACCACACTGGCCGCTTTGTGTAAAACCACAAAGGGACACAACCAGTCACTTGGCAGGAGCACCCACTGGACCACAGGGACTTCTATGGGGAAACTCTATCTTGAAGTAAGCATCATCAAACTTGATCAATATTCATTCATGTGAGGGTTCACTGCCCACACTTTGGACTAGCTCATCTGGACTCTCTCTCTCCCCACTCCAGTTCTGCTACCCAGGAAGTCAGTTCCTGTGTCATGTGCTGTGGCATTTCATCCGAGTCTGCAAGCTGCTGGAAAATGCAGTCTCCAGGCCTGTAGCAGGCTGACCACACAGAAAATCCTTTAGGTTTGTGAGTGGCAGCTGAGAGTCCAGGTCAGGGGTAAGGATAAGAGAATCTCCCGAAGATGGGAAAACCCAGTGAGATTGAGAGGACACACACAAGGTATTTTTGATACAATATGAGAAAGCAATTTGAAGACTGTAAAGCCCTAAACAATGAAATGTGATGTTGTTTTATTGATCTTTTTTTAAAAAATCAAATGTCTTTCTACCTCATAGTCACTACATTTGTATCCGTTTGATAAGTTTTCAACTAGGCTTTTCTTTGGGCACCAGGAATCGAACTCACAACCTCACATTGCCAGGCAGGCACTGTGCCAATGAGCTATCCCCAGCCCTTCAACTAGGCTTTGCGAATGAAGTCTTCCCTGTTCCCAGTTATTGGTGAAAGCACCTCACTTCATTGCTTCACATAAATCCTTCTTATACAAAATAGGAAATTAAATACGTTTTGTTAAAGTGGGATGCTTTCCTTGCTATGTTTAGTTTATATTCTTGGGAGAAAGCAGCAAGTCTGAACAACCTATATCGGGGAGCTACTTCTCACATAAATTTCTGTGTCTCAATTCTCCTTTCAGCACTCCTTTCCTATAACATTGCCTTTCTTGACTGCATTCTTACATTATTTACACAGGGATCCATTTTAACACGCCTCCAACATACCATTAAATGTTATTGCTCACAGTGCTTGCCTGGCAAGCGCAAGGTTTTGAGTTCGATTCCCAGTACCAGAAAAAAGCCAAAAAAACAAAAAAATGTTATTGCTCAGTCTGTGTAAAGGTCAGAACAGAGAGCTTTCCTGTCCAGACACCTCTGTCAACAATTACATCACTTGTTGACATGTGGCCCCTCATTAGGACTTTCTACAAATCCAAGACTCAGTATTAGAGGTCAGTGCAGATTGGAGTCAGCCTGAGTTCGGGTTAACCTGAAATAAGAGCCTAAGAGATCATCAGTTTTTATTGTATTCCAGAGCTCAGTCAAATGAAATGCCTGGTGCTTGGTAGAATATACACACACACATACATACACACACATGTGCACATACACGTATCATATACATAACTCAGTAAATAAGTGACTGAACGAATGAACACAGAGTGAAAACTAAAACACAGACTGTAGAACCAAAATGCCCGGGCTCAAATCCCAGATTTATCATAAACCAGTTAGCATGACAGTGGACAGTTGCCTAAGCTCTTTGTGCCTCATCTGTCTTCGTCTTTCGTTGTTTGTTTTTGCTTACCATCTTACTTTTCACCTGTGAAATGGGAACAACAGTCACATCTACCTCACAGGATTGTTGTGACGATGAAATGATGCCTGAAATACAAATCTCTTGGCCCAGGGAGAGTCCTGTGCACAGCGCCCAGGAGATAAAGGCTGTTGCTGAGTACACACCTCGCTCTGCCCTGCCCATCCAAGCTGCCTTCACGCGTGAAATCAGACCTGAGTTTATACATGGGAAAAATCCAAAGTAAAACCTGCCTGGGAAGCTTTGTGTAGCTACTGAGTCTCCTTCTAGACATGACTTTTTTTTTTTTTTTGTCACTTTGTGACATACACTGTATTTTTAAGCATAGTAGTGTCAATTGATTGAAGTATTTTATTGAACCATTTTACTGCTCTTGTGCCCAGAGGCTTTTTAAAGCAAGAACTGATTTTTCAAATCAAATAAATGAATGTATATTTCTTGTACTGGAAGTGTAAGAGCACAAGCAACAGGACTAGAACTTCCCCTTCATCTGGGTGACTATTTGCTCAATAGCTGGATGTTTCCCTCAATGTTTAGGAGAGAGGCAGTAGAGTCAGGGCTGAACTTCCCCACCACTGTTGTCACATGCTGTCAGCCAGGTCCCTGATGTTACTCCCAGGATCTGGACCACACAGGAATTTGTCCATCTTCCTGGGGGAGAGACAGTCTGACCTCAGCCAATTCTTAAGGCCTTTTGACACCTACTGAGGTCACCTTTAATTAACAGTGAAATTCTACTCCCTATTCCCTGCAACTATACTGCACAATGAAAATCACCTTAATTTTAGTAACTTTGTCCTCTGCCCGAAATATAAACTGTTGGCTAATGGCACACTAAAGTTAAAGAACTTTAAAAATCAGCACCAGAGCCAGGCATGATGGCGCATGCCCGTGATCCCAGCTCTCAGGAAGCTGAAGCAGGAGGAGCACCAAGAGTTCAAGGTCAACCTGGGCTCTAGCAAGTTCAAGGCCAGCTTGAAATACATCACAAGACTTTGTCTCAGAAAACAAAACAAAACAAAACAAAAATCAACATAAGTAATAATGTAGAGCATTCTAACTTTACATATCTCCGGAAAGGACGCATGTTTACAGCATCAGTTTTGAAGAACTCTTGACAATAATTTATGGCCTTAAACCAAACCAAACCTAGGAGACAGGAGGAAAAGTTAAATAAGACCACAACAAATACCAAACATGCACGATGTGGGCAACTCTACAAGATAATTGGCCTAGTCTTATAAAAAGTGTGATATTATAGGA